GGTCCCTGGCACTCTGGGGGCGCAGGCGTCGGCGCAGGCATGGCCAAGCCCAAGCACCGCACCACGCACAACCCACCCCGGAAATGGCACAGAAACGGCATCAGGAAACCCCGGTCACCACGACTCGAATCTCTTGAGGGGGCAGACCCTACGGCTCAGATCCCCATGGGCAGCCACCGCTCAAGCTCAGCCGACAGGCCTACATCACCCACCCCAAGCTCGGCAAGCGGGCTCAGGCACGTACTGCCAAGGGTCTGAGGCTCGGCCAGCCCAAGGCACAAAGCAAGGCGGACGCTCCAGCCAAGGCCTCGACTGCAGCTCCAGCTCCTCAAGCTTCCGCAAAGTAGAGTTCTCCGTCCAAGGAGGAGAGAGAGGGGCTGGTGTGAGCCCGGGGCTGCCTGTAAGGCACTGGTGTTCTCCGGTGCTGACCCCAGGTGGTGCTGTTGTTGGTCCAGACAGACAACCAGGGGCTGCACAGATGGGCTCAAGCCTAAGGACCATTGTGAGGCTGGGCTGGGCATGGTTACATTCTGTCGCGCACACGGGGTCACTGTGAGTTGGAACTGAACTCAATGGCACCAACAAGATGCCATCGCATGTAAGGCGCCTGCCAGTCGGGACAAACCCCTCTAGCGGTCAGTGCTTTCTCTGGAGAGTAACGGGCAGGCGGGAGGCGCTGTTCAGGGCGCCACTGGGATTTCAACTTTGGCATCTTAGATTCAATAAGAGGGGCTATTCCGTACCCTCTACGGAAAGCCTTCAGGAGGGATTACAAGTTTATGTCCAGAAAACAAGAAATGATCTATCTATGGTCCCCTCCCAGGGGGACAGACAACAGAAAAGTGGTTAGAGGGAGACACCGGTCAGTGTAAGACATGAAAAAATAATAATTTATAAATTATCAAAGGTTCATGAGGGAGGGGGAGGGAGGGAGGAGAAAATGAGGAGCTGATACCAAGGGCTCAAGTAGAAAGAAAATGTTTTGAGAATGATGAGGGCAACAAATGTACAAATGTGCTTGACACAATGAATGAATGGATTGTTATCAGAGCTATAAGAGCCTCCAATAAAATGATTTATAGAAAAAGAAAAAAGAAAAAAACCCAAATCCTCACCACCGTACCCAAGGTCACATCACGATAAATGGAGAACAGAGGGAAGTTGCCGAGGACGGCATCTCGCCTGGACCCATAATCAAGCTCCTGGAAGCCACACTCATTAAACCCAAGGACAGTGCATTGGGTAAATCCGCAGGGGACTGCGTTGAAAAGCAAGGATGTCGCTTTGAGAACCACGGCCCTCTGGAGCAGCCTGTGCATGTGACAGATGGGCACGAAGGAGAATCAATACACTGTGTAGTCTCGTGTATCAGCCGGGGTTTCAGCACATTTTTATGCAGTTTTTGTGGTAAAATGAGGTGTCTCGGCTCGTATTCGAGTCGGCTTAGACTCGAGTATATACGGTCTTTGAATTACGGTGCTGCTGGAGAATACGGAGCGTCCCACAGACTGCCAGGAGACCAAACAGATCTGTCTTGGAAGAGGCGCGGCCAGAATGCTCCTTAGAAGCAAGCGTGGTGAGATGTTATCTCACGCACTCTGGACGCATAGTCAGGAGAGACCAGCTCCGGAGAAGGACATTTTGTTTGGTGAAGCAGAGGGGGCAGTGGCGGATGAGGAAGGCCCTCGAGGAGGTGGTCTGATGCCCAGGCTGAACAATGGGCTCGGGCATCACCATTGTGAAGATGGCCGACCGGGTGGTGATCCTGAACAGACAACTCCATGGCCTCTAACAACAACAACAACGACAGTGAGGAGCCTGGGGTGTTACATGTCATTATTAGGTGCCCCGAGTCGGTTCCAAAGCACAGAGACCCCCCCCCACGTGCAATAGGACAAAACACTGCCGGGTCCTACGACGTCCCCACGAGTGTTCTTAGGTTGACGCCCACGGTTGGCGCCGCCGTGCCAATCCATCTGGATGTGGCTCTTGCTCTTTCTCGACGACGCCCTTCTTTCTCCAGGGCCTGGTCTCTCCTGTGTTTGGCTGCGCACCAAAAAACGTCAGCCAGCCACAGCTGTCTGAGGGAAAAGACGGCCCAGGCGCGCCCCTGTACACATCAAGTCCCACAAGTCGGATTCGTGGGAAGCCATTCCGAGTGGAACTGCCCCACAGGGGTTCCAGGCTGAAGTCCTTACAGAAGTGGACGACGCCATCGCTCTCCCCGGGAGCAGTTAAGTGCCATCGAGTTGGTTGCGACCCAGAGACCCGATGCACCGCAGCACACACCTGCCTGGTCAAGCGTCCTCCTCACCATTGCTCCCACGCCTGAGCCCACTGCTGCAGCCACTGTGTCCGTCCACCTCACTGAGGGCCGTCCCCTCCTCCACGTCCCCTCAACCCTATCTAACACGATGTCCTTCGCCAGGGGCTGATCTCTCCTGACAACATGTCCAAAGGATGTAAAACAAAGTCTCACCACCCCTGTCTCTAAGGAGCAGCTGATGGGATCCAATCACAGGCCTTCCAGGTAGCAGCCAGTGCTTAGCCCGGATGCCCCACTCCGGGAGGTGGGACTCTCTCAGGGGCCAGTCTGCTCTGTCCTGGGGATCACTGTGAGCTGGGACCCACTCCACGGCTAGCTCCACCTGCACGCCCTCACTCCCTGCCTCGCCTCCGTCAGGTTTCTGGTTAAACATCATCTTCTC